ATGGGAGACTGTGTCGAAAGCCTTGCTGAAGTCGAGGTAGACAACATCCACGGCTCTCCCTTTGTCCACCCAGCCAGTCATGTCATCGTAGAAAGCTATTAGATTGGTCAGGCATGATTTCCCCTTGGTGAATCCATGCTGACTACTCCTGATAACCTTCTTTTCTTCCACTTGCTTGATGATGGCCTCCAGGATAAGCTGCTCCATCACCTTTCCCGGGATGGAGGTGAGGCTGACCGGCCTGTAGTTCCCTGGGTCCTCCTATTGAAACAGTGTCATCTGCAAACTTGCTGAGGGTGCACTTGATCTCGCTGTCTAAGTCAATGAAGAAATGTGGAAACAGCACCGGTCCCAGTGTGGACCCCTGAGGGACACCACTTGCCACCGGCATCCATTTGGACATCGAGCTGTTGACCACTACCCTCTTGCTGCGACCTTCCAACCAATTCCTGAGCCACCGAACAGTCCACCCATCAAATCCGTATTTCTCCAATTTAGAGAGAAGGATTATTTTTCAAGTAGAATACATTGGGACCCATATTGTTTTGAATGGTGTGCATGTTCAGGATTTATTTTAAAAGATTTTTTCAGAGAAGGCAACAAGACTATAAGCAGTGGAAGCTGTGATGTGTCATACCAGCAAAGAGACAAAAATTGCAGGCATCAGTTCATTATTCTATTGTGTTGGAATTGTACAAGTGACACAATCCTGAAAGAAAAAAAATAAACGTATTTCAGCTTCAGCCAGTGGCATTGTATCTCTTGCTGATAACATCTGGAAACTATTAAGAAATCTGTAAAATAAGATTCCTCCCTGCCCATTCATAAACAGGCATATTGTTAATTTTATCAGAAAAATTGTGCAAATGTGTGGTATCTGGAGCATTCCTGGAAGAAAGCACACAGACATTCCAAAATATGGATCCTTTTATATGTAGCACATTTATTTAAAAATGGTTGTAAATTGCTTTATTTTCACTCTTCTACTTTTTTTTTTTAACCCAAACTGAATTTTTGAAATCTAAAACATAGTTTGATGTCTCTCTATAACTTCAAGGTTCGTGTTTCATTCGAACTGACCAGCTAGATGGAGAAACAGACTGGAAACTGAAGGTTGCTGTCAGCTGCACGCAAAGATTGCCAGCTTTGGGGGTAAGCGTTTTATCTGTTTGCTTTTAAGTTATCTTCCATATATACATATACATGTTACCTAAAAGATTGTTACAATTATTGTAAGTATTGGAAAATATCTGTTACCACAGTCTTAGTTTTTGCAATAAATAGGAGGTAGATATTCCACTGAATGCTGAATGAGAAGTTGGTTATGCAAATGTTCTTGGTTTTACATTGAAAAGAAACTGAGTACTGAATTTTTGTCTTTGAACTTGGTGGTTCTCATTGTGGTCCTGACTGAGATCCATACTCTGCAGAAGTGTATCACAGTTGTAGTGTTTTCAACCAAGTGTTGTACTGCAAGCGCAAGGCATTCTTGCCTCAGGAACCGTTGCTTTAATTACTGGCTTGTAAGCTTGGGAAACAGCAGCCTGCTCTTAGAAGGTAAAGTGCTTTTTGTTGGCTGGACTGACTAGGTGCAATGTGCAAGTTCTTGCAAGGTGGGCTCTCTAAGAGCTGCCTGAATGTATGTATTTCTTGAGTGCATATGTGTCCTGTCATGAGTAGCACTATTAAAACAGTGAAAAAGGGCACCTGTGTGTATGGATATACTCCAAATATACATGTATCTACAAAACTGTATGTAGAATTTTATGAATGTCTTTTAATGAGAAGCTGAATTGTGTCCCTTGTACTGGGGAAGCTTGCTGTTTTACAGGAGAGTTTGCTTTGTATGAAGAGACTTGCTATGAAAACATATTCAAGTTACAAGCCTGTGGAAATTTACCTGTCCAGAATTTCTGGTGTTTTAACCCTAAATCCTTTAGGTGTTTTATTAAAGGCAAACATACCTTAAAAGGACTGTTATGTGCCATCTCAATAGAAAAAGTAAGCATTAGATTAATCTGCCAGATTTTAGCAGGATTTCTGCAGTTATTCTTCCAGAATTACAGAGTTGCTGCCACACTGAAATTAGCAAAAGGGAGAGATTTTTTTTTCCTGCATTGACAGTGCTCTGGCTACTGGCTTCATGTGTGACAGGAGGAGGAAAAAATAGTTAGGTTTGAATTTAGGGGCTTGGGAACAAGGCATGGAGCTGAAGTTTTGTCGTGCCAGACAGAGATGCCAAGTCGGATTCTGGTGCAAGAACGGACTTTAACAAGTATTCTGTAACCTGCAGTTGAACTTAGTGTTTGTAATAATGCCTATCCTATAGGTTTTTACCATTTACTCATTGGCCTGTCTTGTTTTCTCATTAAAAAAAAATGTCCACATTTGAGGCAGATGCATGCATTTGACTAAAATGCAGTCAATTTTTTATCTTGCTTTGATTTTTTTTTTTTTTTGTCATTACTGCTTTTCAGGTGGTTACAACTGTGTCCAACTTCATTATTATTTTTTATTTCTCTTTTGTTTTGGAAGCATCACTGATTGCACTCAGCAAATACAACTTTTTGTGCAGAGCACTGCCTCTGAGTTCTGTTTGCTGGTGACAGTTTCAGTGTTCTGAACTTTGGTGTTCTGAGGCTAATGAAATCTGGAGTAAATTCACAGTGCAAAGGTTTCTCTACACTGTTTTGGAAAATAAAAGAAAAACTTTAAGTTACCTGTTCTATTTTAAAAAAAACAAACCCACAAATCTGTGTCTGAAGATTTCCCTTCTTGCTAGGAGGAAATAGACCTGACAGAGCAGGGAATTGTTGTACAATAACTTTTATGTTCTTTATTACTGATAACTGATTTTTTTTTTTTAGACTTGATGAATTGTTAAGCTTCTATAGAGACAGCATAAAATGATGCTTAAACCTGTGCATTTGATTTGAAAGATGTAAATGTTTGTGTTGTAGTTGTTTACAGTGGAAAATAAATCAGAAATGGCTGAATTTGGGGAGTCTGCATTTGAATGGCAGGACATGCAGCTTTGTTCAGAAGTGAAGGTTTGCTGCAGGTGGTGGTGGTTTGGGGCATGTAGAGGAGGGAAGGGCAAGGAATCACCAAGCAATTATTCATGAGTCTTGGAAAGAGCGTAGGAGAGTCAACTGTACAACACAGAAACCATTTCTTCCTTAGTTGTTTCCACTTGCTGCTATTAACCTACCTCTGACTGATCTGTGCTTCTTTCAAGGTTTTTGTATTCTCCATCTTCCTGAGCTGTAGGTGACAACCTGAGTTGTGTCATCAGGTGCGGTTGTGTACACTTAAACCTTCCCTGGCTACCAGCAGCAAATGGAAGCCACCAAGCAGTTGATATGCCTCTACCCTTTCTCGCATCACGCAGTTACTGGTGGTTAACCACGCTAGCCAAGACTTTGTCTGCTGATATGTCATCCTGAAGTAACTGGCACTGGGTATAATACTTCCTGCCAACTAAATCAAACTGTCTCCCAGTTTCCATACTGTGCGGTTTGGTCGCACCATTGACACTTGGTGGTTCTTTAATGAGATCATTTTAGATGGCTGCTTCCCAGCTGGTCTCAGACTGTTTGCAGTGGTTATGTCATATATCTGCTTCACTCTGGAGCCCCATCTGTCTCTGAAATGTTTTGGGGAAATGGTAGCCTAATGTGCCCAAATGTAAATACTTTTCAGGGGATCCCCACATCCATCGCAGAAGATGATGCTCAGCACACATCGAGGAAGGCTGTTCCCATTCCTGTGCAAAGCATATTGGTACCTCTTTCATTTCCGCAAAGACATTTTTACCTTTGTGGGGATGGCGATAATATGCAGAGTATCAGGCATCTGAACAAACTCTGTGGATGGACAACTTCCTGAGATTAGTATGAACCTCTAAGCAAGCCGTGAATTTCAAACTAACGAAAGACAGCATTATGGAATTATTCTATTCTAAGCCTAATTCTTGCAGTTCCTAGTAGAGTCATAAGCTGTATCTCTCTATAGGCCCTACATTTATTCATTTTTTTTAAAGTTAAATTAAAATGCAGTAGGCAGAGGTATTTCTTTGTAGTTACGCTAACATAATGGTTTTGGAAAAAAGAGTAAAAATAGGATACATGCTTTAAACATGTAAGGATAGTGTTTGGCACTCTTTGAAACTTTACACCCAGCTTATCTAAAAAGGGATGCTTGAAATACGTAGTGGAGGTCTTATTAACAAATGGTATTCAAGGTCTCCTTCACAAGCAGTGGAAAAAAATGTGAAGCAACTTCATTGAAAGTCAGGATCATTTGAGAAACCCATTTTAAATAGACTCTTTGTCACCCTAGGCTTCTACAGGATCCTCTGCTGCTGAAAATTTCTCTTAATAAAACTGAAAAACTAGGCAAGCTGCTCTCCAGATACTAACCTGAAAAGGGCTGTTGCTTTGCCAAACACCCCTATGCTTTGTGTCGGCTCCTGAGTGGAGGGATCGCCATTTCACAGCGACAGTCTCGCTCACCCCTACGATGGCATGACTGGCTGGGTAGATGAGGGGAGAGCCGTGGATGTTGTCTACCTGGACTTCAGCAAGGCTTTCGACACAGTCTCCCATGATATCCTCCTAGGGAAGCTGAGGAAGTGTGGGCTGGATGAGTGGTCAGTGAAGTGGATAGAGAACTGGCTGAATGGCAGAACTCAGAGGGTTGTTGTCAGCAGCGCTGAGTCTAGTTGGAGGCCGGTAACTAGTGGTGTCCCTCAGGGGTCAGTACTGGGCCCAGTCTTGTTCAACTTCTTCATCAACGACCTGGATGAAGAGTTAGAATGTACCCTCAGGAAGTTTGCTGATGACACATAACTGGGAGGAGTGGTGGATACACCAGAAGACTGTGCTGCCATTCAACAAGATCTGGACAGGCTGGAGAGTTGGGTGCAGAGCAATCTCATGAAGTTCAACACGGGCAAGTGCAGGGTCCTGCACCTGGGGAGGAACAACCCCATGCA